ATCCATCAATCCAGTTCCTGTTCTGAAACTGACTTGACTCTCTGTCAGCTTCCTGTCTATGTACTGCTGCAACCGTCTTTGAATGATCTTCAACACAATTTTACTTACATGTGATATTGATGATTTGTTTGTGCTTTCCACATTCCGTTGGGTCACTTTTATTTGTAATGGGCACAATTGTGGGTCTCTCCTAACTGATTGGCCAGGTAGTGGTCTTCCTGATCTTTTGGAATTGACGTGTGAGTGCCTCCAGTGCAGCATTAATTTGTTGAAACATTTTAATTTGTGTTCTGTCAATTCCTGGAGGCTTCTGTTTTACCAGTATCTTCAGTACAGCTTGGACTTCTTCCTTCAATCCCGATGCTACTCTTGAAATGATTGAATATCACCCACTTCTTTTTGGTTCAGTGACTCTATTCCTTCTGTCTTCTTTTGCTGCTTCCTTTGTCATTATATTTTTTGTCCATAGAATTCTTCAGTATGTTAACCCGAGGCTTGAATTTTTTCCTCTGTTTTTTTTTTAGCTTGAAAAAGGCTGAGAAAACCTTTTGGTTTTCTGATTCCAGATATTTGCACATTTCATTTTAATACTTGACTTCTTTGAAATTTTCTGTTTGACTCTTTTACTTCATCATTTCTTCCTTTTGCTTTAGCATCTCTAAGCTGGAGAGCAAGTTTCAGTCTCTTCTGATATCCATTTTGGTCTTTTCTTTCTTTGCTGTCTCTTAAAATGACCTTTCGCTTTCTTCCTGTATGATGTTGTTGATGTCATCCTACAAGTTTTCTGGATTTTGGCTATTAGTGTCTAATGCATCAAGCCTGTTCTTGGTCTCCAATTTCAGATGAGATATGTTCAAGGTCACATTTTGGTTCTCATGGACTTGTTTTCATTTTCTTTACCTTCAGCCTGAACTTGTATAAGAGTAATTTAGGGTCTGTTCAGCCGTTGGCCCCTGACTTTGTTTTTGTTGATGATAGTGAGCATTTCCGCTGTCTCTTCCCAAAGATGTAGTCAATTTGATTCCTATATATTCCATGTGGTGAGGTCCATGTGTATAAAAAAGATACACACGTTTTGTTGTTTGCAAAAGATATTTGCAATGATCAAGTGTTTAGTCTTGAAAAATTCTTTCACGTGGACTACAGCATCATTTGGATCACCAAAGCATATTTTCTAACTACTGATTCTACTTTTGTTTCCAATTTTTGGATTCCAGTTACCAGTCATTATCAATACATCTCATTGCATGTTTGATCAGTTTCACACTGAAGAAATTTGTAGAATTCTTCAGTTTCACTGGCTTTAGTGTTTTGTGCATAGATTTGAATTGACTCTGAAAAGCACCATATAACAGTGGTAGTAACAGTGGTCTTCCTTGTAGGTGTATGGATTATCGTATCACAGACAGTGTTGTGCTAAAAGATCGATCTTGAAGTGTTCTTTTTGAAGATGAAAGTGACACCATTCCTCTCAAATTTGTTGTTTCTGGCATATTAAACTATATTAAACATGGTCTTTATCAGATTAAAAATGGACATTACCAGTCCATTTCAGTTCATTCATGCCTAGCACCTGGAGTCCTTGTATGGTGCCGTGGGCTAAAGCGCTGGATTGCAAAGTCAATTTGAACCACAAAGTCTGCAGTTCTAGCTCACCAGCTGCTGCTTGAAAACCGAATACAGATTTGCTATGGGTTAGAACCGACTTTTCGGTGCTAAACAACAATAACATTGCTTAAGATAGAGACCTTTATGTGTTCTATTTCACTTTTGACCTCTTCCAATGTTTCTAGACTCATACTTCATGCATTTCATGTTGTGATTATTGATAGATTTTTGCCCCTGTTTCTCCTTATTTTGAGTTGTGCCCTGTTAATAAATGCAAGTCCTAGAAACTGTACTCCATTAGTGTTCGTGGTAACTCTACTTTGAGTGCCTTTCAGCCTGAGGGGCTCATCTTCTGGCAGTAGTCTGGTGCTACTCATAGTGTTTTCATCTTCTAGTCCTATATGTGACAATGGTTTGCTGCTATACGTAGGTTTTCAGTGGCTAAATGCTCAGAAGTAGTCCACGGCTCCTGCTTCCTAGTCTGTGTTAGTCTGGAATCTCAGCTAAAAGCTGTCCAACATGAGTGGCTCAGCTGGTATTTAAAATCAGCGGCACAGCTTCCGGCATCACAGTGGAATATACTCAAGGTCATATGTCGGCTTTCATGGATTTGTTTTAAATTTCTTCACGTTCAGTCTCAAGTGGTCCTGAAAACTAACAATTTAATGTGACTGAAGGCTTCAATTTTATAGTGTTTATCAAAGTGAATTTGACACTCAGAGTCAGTTTGTTATTGGCAGAAGCTGCTATGGAGCTGAGCTGTCTTAGTTTCCTTCTGTGGCTGAAACAGAAGTGCCACCTGTGAATGGCTTTAAAACACAGAAATGTATTTTTTCTAAGCTGTGAAGGCTCCAAGTCCAAATCAGGGTTTGAATCACAACAGTTCCTTCTGTGTCGGCTTTCCTAGACATCCCTTGGTTCCTTGGCTTGTAGATAATCCTTAAAAGGTGTGTTTCTTCCCCCAGTGTGTCAGTGTATGCATTGCTCTGTGTCTAAACTGCCTTTTTATAATAACTCAAAAGTGATTAGAGTTGTTGTTGTGAAGTGTTGTCAAGTCAGTTCCTACTCATAGCAACCCTGTGTAGGGTTCCTGAGGAGTGGCTGATGGGTTTGAATGGCTGCTTTTCCTCCTGCGGCACACCAGGCCTCTGCGATTAGAAATAGAAGACATCAGAGGTGATGAGATTTAGAACCCAGTGGTAGAATTCCCAGGTGGTTCATTAGAATCCTCAGCATCCATGTGGGAGATCTGGGTTGGAGTCCCAGCCGAGGTACTATATGCTAAGCCACTGCCTGTTTGTTTCTGGAGTCTGGCGCAATGCAATGACACTGAACAGCGTTCCATAGAACTCCCACACTAATACAGGCTAGAAGGAAAGACCTGGTTATAGACTTTGGAAAATCAGCCAGTGAAAGTTTCATGGATCACAATTGTTTAATCCCCAACTGATCCTGAGGTGGGAGCGGAAGAGGTCAGTGTTCCTTCCATTTAACTGTGTTCAGGGTACAATGAGTTGGGGGCCATGTCAGTGCAACTAATGACTACTCGAGTATGATTTAGTTGACATAACCAGAGAATACTGTTTCTAAACAGGATTGACCTCCACAGGTATGGAAGTGTGGATCCCAACACATCTATTTATTGGTTGACTCAATTGAATCCATCACCAGGATGGAGCAGCTGTGTTTCCACATCCCGCCAGTCTTTTGACCTTGTTGTGTGATTGATGTTTTGCTTTATTTTGTGCAGTAGTGCCAGCCTCAGTCTCCTCTTGTAAGGGTAAATCCTCTGCATCGTCTCATTGAAGTTGAATAGATTCACTGTTTCTGCTGTGTGGTGTTATCTCTTTACAAATGGGAATTTGGGATTTGATTGTGAATGTCGATGATATTCTTGGATAAAATTTTTTAAAAAGGAATTTATTTGTTTGTATCATTTTGTTATGTATTACCTTTCAATACAGATAGCAACTAACTGATAAGCCTATTAGAAATCACTTCTACTTGATACTTGTTGAAGCAAGATAACTCGAATACACAAGTTGTGCCTTAAGAACGTGTTTCATTAAAACTGCCTCTTTCAGGTTACTGCGTTTAACTATGTAGCAGAGAAGAGGTCATCTCATTAAATGCACAATGAGTCCAACTTATACTGATCATCTAGGATGGCGTAGAGCTGGTCCTCTGAGTTGCAGAGACTGTAAATCTTTACAGAAGCATACAGCCTCATCTTTTTCCCATGAAGCCACTGGTGTTTTTGAACTGCTTACCTTATGGTTACCAGCCCGACACCTAGCCTGTAGCACCATTACAACTCCTTAGTGACTACATCTTTTACTGTTGTCAAGTCTGTTCTGGCTCACAGCGACTGTGAACAGGGTTCTGAAGAGTGCCTGGTGGGTTTAAATAGCCTGTGTTTCAGTGTGCGGTCCAGTGTTCATCCTACAGGTCCCCAACAGGACTCTTGAGTGTACCTGTTGTTAAGTGCTGTCGAGTCAGTTCTGACTCATAGAGACCCTGTATAGGGTTTCCAGAGTGGCTGGTGGATTTGAACAGCTGACCTTGTGGTTCAATGCGACTTTGTAGTCCAGTGCTTGTCCTGCAGTGCCACACCAGGACTATAGCTGGACTGCACTGAAAGAATTTTTAACCTCAAAGAGTTACAAATGCTCTCTGAGATGCCTTGCAATGATTAGTGATGTGCGTCTAGTTTCTTAGAGACTGCTGTGAGCTTTGTTCATTTGGTGGGGGTTGTGCACTAGGCAGCACTATATAATAGAATTTAATATAACTGTTCTGAAATACTATACGTCCAAAGGAAGTTGCAAAAACAGTGCAATGAGACCCTATACCTACCACCCATTTCTCCTAGTGCTGACTGCTTATGTAACTGTGGTACACTAAGACATTGGTACGTTGATCTTAACTAAACTACAGACCTTATTCCATAATCACCATTTTTTAAGACTAGCATTCATTTGTGTGCAGGTATATAATTGTCCTTAACATTAAAAAATATATATACAGTATTCAAATTGTGGCAAATCTGTAGGTGGAAAACGACAACAACCCACAGCAGCTGCCAGCCATTTCAACAGTCTTCACCGGCGTCACTCAGTGACATTAGTTCTGATCAGAATGGCGTTCCCCTCTCACCAATCCCAGGTTTTTAATCCCATAACAGAAGCTCATTTCCCCTCATTATTGTTTCTTATTAAAAAATAGTTAGGCATGAAGAATTTATATAGATTGGCTTTCTTTTTGCATCTAAATCCTGGGTTAATGACTACCAGTTAAAGGTATCTATAAAACGATCCCTGTAGGTTGACTGTTGTTTTCTTGTTATGTAGTAATAAATGTTATTCTCCTTCTCTCCCAATTTCTTTAGGCCTTTCAGTTAGCCTCCCGAAGATGGCTGAACTTGCAGGAATACCAGAGCAAGAAACTAATGTCTGACAATGGAGTGAAAGTTCAAAAATTCTTTGTGGCAGACTCTGCGAAGGAGGCTCTTGAGGCGGCTAAGAGACTAAGTAAGCTTGTTAATAACAGGAAACAAATACACAAGTAGTAGTTGTATGAAAGCTGGCCAGCGAATTATACTAACAGTGGCTGAGACGGTGGAGAACTTTGAATGTGAAAAAGGGCAAAAGTACAACTAGAAAAACTTCACTTTTTTTTTGGCGTGAAATAGCAGTAGGTGGGATGTTGTTGCACGGTCATTTTTCTGAGGTTGTCTAGTCACCACGGAAGCCAGTCCTCTCGTATGTGTTTCCATGACTGGGAGAAAGATGGTTGAAGCATGTAGAGTGTCAGTGGGAAATCCGCAGTAGGATAACTCAGGCCAGAGGCGTTGCATCCTGCTTTTAGCATCTTGTGAGAGTTATGAGTGATTAGAGGGGAGAACAAGGCCAAGAGCGTGTTCTTTGAAGTCAGGTCAGCTGTGGTTCAGTGCTTTGCCCCCCCCCCCCCTTTTATCACCTATGTAGTTTCGTATAAATGCTTTCTCCTCTCTGCTGCTCAGTTTCCTCTTCTGTAGAGCAAGACTAGTAGTGTTTATCCCCCAGCTATTTATAACTGTAATGGAGATTTCACCTGTGTGAACTACCTGGTACATGGTAGAACAATCTAGCCAGTTTCCTTAGTTATAGATTGAAAATTTAGGATTTGGGTCCTGGTGTCTGTTTTCCAGTGATCTTTCCTCAGGTGGTACATGACTCTATGATCAGTCTGGATCAGTGCTTTCCAATAGAAATATGATATGAGTCACATATGCATCTAAAAATTTTCTCACCGTTACACTAAGAAAAGTATAAAGAGATTCATTGTAATAATAGATTTTATTTACCTGTGTTATTGTTAAGTACCGTGGAGTTGGTTCCGACTCATAGTGACCCTGCACAGGGTTTCCGAGGCTGCACATCTTTATAGGAGCAGAACTCCTCATCTTTCTCCCGCGGAGCAGCTGGGAGTTTTGAACTGCTGACCTTGATTGTGGTTAGTAGTCCAATTCATAATCACTATGCTACCAGAGCTCCTATACCTGTGGTGGTAATGGTGATTATATGCCATGGAGTCGGTTCTGACTCACAACAAAGTTTCTGAGGCTGTAAATCTTTAAGAGAGCAGATAGCCTCATCTTTCTCCCGCGGAGCAGCTGGTAGTTTTGAACTGCTGACCCTGAGGTTAGCAACCCGATTCATAATCACTGTGCTACCAGAGCTCCTTTACCTGTAGTATATCTAAACGATCATTTCAGCATGTATGATACCAAAACAAATCTAGTTTGTATTTCACATCTCCGATTCATTTCAATTCAGACTAGCCACGTTTCAGATTCCCAGTAGCCACATGTAGCTAGTGGCTACCATATCAGGTAGTATAAGTCTGGGCATTGAAATGATTTGCGTACATTGCCTGAAACACTGGCAGCGTTCATTTACTACTGAAATCTAAAAAGAATAGAACATGTGTGAGTCTGCATTGTCGAGACAGCTACAAGTGGAGAAAAGTTAGGGGTGCAACATGGATGTCCCATCATCCTATGACCATGAGGTTGATCGTGACTCCTAGCAACGCAGATAAAGCAGATGTGCCCTGTGGGGTCTCCAAGTCTGTACCTGCCACATCTTTCTCCTGTGGATTTGCTGGGACAGCTGCGTGCTTTAAACGCCACCCCACTAGTCTTCCTCAAGATAGATGGAGGCTCTTTATTTCAATTTTCCAGTTTTCAGCTGTCTTTTAAGCGCTTAGGTGTTTCAGCTAATAGTAGTTCTGCCTGTACCTCCATGTAGAAGTTCTCCGGATGCTCATACGCCATGTCCTTTCTATGTTGTGCCATTTGAACTCTGTCTTTATTCTTTTCTTCCACAGATTCTTACTGCGTGCTAGCCGTATTAGGCACTGTGGATATGGCTAGGGGAGACGGGCAGGCCCTTTTTATTAGAACTTAGAGTCTAGAAAGAAATTGATTTGTAATTGCATTTTTGCTGCTAAATGTAGGCATTTTAAGAAATGAAAATCTATCAGAATTGGTGTTTATGGATAGATAAAACAGTAAAATTAGATCTAAACCTGGATAAGAGCTCCTCAGTGACCCAGCTAATAGACTTAGAAAAGGTTACTCTTCTAACCTTTTCACAGGGTACTCCTGTGGTTTGAGGATGGGGAAATGAGAGCCAAGGAATGTAAAGTTCACATTGGTCTTTGATCATCATTTCCTCCGTTATTAAATGCTGGTAAGCACAGCTGTCCAGGTGCAGGCGTCTGACCCCATTTTAAGGGGATTCTGGAAGCAGATGATTCCCCCACCCTGGCATAGCACAGCTGAAAGAAGATCTGTCTTTCCGATTTTTCCATGGAGATTTGGATTTACTGAATTGATTGGCTTCTTAGTTAAATGTTTGTTTTGCAAGTGTTGACTTAGCCATCCCTCTGTGGCTGTGACCATGTGCATGCTGGTAAAGTAGACTTTTTGCTTTGGACGAATTAGCAAGGTGGGGTTTTAAATGCTGGGGTGTGCTGAGTAGAGAGAAAGAGATGGAAAATAAAGCAAGTTTAAGTAAAATAAGATAAGATTTGGGTTATTGAGTAGTTTCAAGAAAATTTGTCAAAGAGAATACTGGGAATGAACATGTTGAGATTGTGTGTGTGTGTGTGTGTGTGTCTGTCTGTCTGTCTGTCTGTCTGTCTCTGCATGTCTGAGATGCTCCTTTAAATGGAGTGGCTAGGGAGACCTCTCTGACCTTGCTTAGAACTAAAGGGTATTTTAAACAACGGATCACTTCACTTGATGAATGAATGAGTAATTCTTCTTTTTCTCTGTGAGTAATGTTGGTTTCCCTTGTTGAATGGACAGTTGTGAATAAAGGACATTTATAGTCTCCTGAGAGGACAGGATACCAAGTCAGTTAAAAATGAAATACAATGATCGCAGTATTGAAGGAAGCATGCACGTTAGTGATGCTGCCAGCGTATCAGAGGAAGCTAAACAATCAGGATCTGGCAGAACTTCACAGTGTTAATGTTCTCATCACTGTAAGAGTGACAAGATACAAGAGCACAACTGGGCCTTTACCAGCGAGATTTGTGGTTAAAGTTAAAGCTGAGTTACATATACATCTATCTCCCTGACTGTCCTGAAAAGGGCACCTCTACCTGCGCTGTAGGATAAGCACTAGACAGCTAAGCCCAAGGTTAGTGGTCCAAACCCATCCCATACTGTTCAGAAATCCCATAAAGGATCTGAGTGGGAATCAACTTGACAACCTTAGCAACAGTAGCAACAATATACATGCTGGAAGCCTTTAAGGACTTTAAAATGCTGCTTGGTGAAGATCAAAGATTGCAGGCTTCATTATTAATTGTACTTTAATGTAAAGTCCTGGTGTGGCACTGTGGGTCAATGTACCACACTGCAAAGCTGTTTGAACTGCAAGGTCAGCAGTTCAAGTTCACCAGCTGCTCCTCAAATCCTACACAGGGCATTATGGGTCGGAACCGACTCAACAGCACTTCACAACAGCAACAATGTAAAGAAAACAAATTTCTCACAACTGGAGCAATCAATAGAATGATGATAAGTGGAAAGCAGATTGAAGTTGTCCGAGACTTCAGATTGCTTGAATCCACCATCCACCCTCATGGAAGCAGCTGTCAAGAAGTCAAATGATGATGTTACATTAGGCAAATCTGTGGTACAAGACCTTTTTAAGGTCTGTTCAAGAGCAGATACCAGTTTGAGGACTAAGATTTGCTGTTCCAAGCCAAGGTATTTTCAATAGCCTCGTATGTATATGAGAATTGGACAATGAAAAGGGAGACCACAGAATAATTGTTACATTTGATTTTTGATGTTGGAGAATATTGAAAGTACCACGGATTGCTAGAAGAACAGACAAATCTGTGTTGAAAGTCGTACCACCAGAATGCTCTAGAAACCAGCATGGTGAGACTTCATTGCTCATGTTTCAAATACCAACAGGGAGGGATCAGTTCCTGGAGAAGGCCATCATGCTTAGTAAAGTGGAGGCTCAGCGAAAAGAGAGAAAGAGGAAGACTTGTATCAAGATGGGTTAGCACAGTAAGAACAGCTCTGGGCTCAAGGGTAACAGCAGTTTGAGGCATGAGCAGTACTGGGCCGTGTTTCGTTCCGTTGTGCATAAGGCAACTATGTGTTGGAATTGATGCAATGGCATCCAACAACAGCAATAATATATTGCGTATTTAATCATTTACCAAATTTCGCCATTTTAAGTGCAGCTTTGTTGTTTTACAATCAAGGAAACAGGCAAGATGAGGTTAAAAAAACTTGCCAGGTTTATAGAGCTAATAATCAACGAAGATAGGGTTTGAATTCAGCAATATTAGATTTTATCTCCTCCCCACGCATGTTTCCTCTCTGCTAACTTGATGATGCTATTCTTAGGAGATTTTTATGTGTGGCTCAGCATTTTTAAGATGGAAAATGCATATTAATAAAATTAGGAGATTGAATTAAAACTAGATGTGGCAGGTTCTAAGATACGATTTATAGGAACTTTGTAATCTGTAGATATTTTCTTTATGATTTATTTTGGTGTATCTCTTTGTGTGATAGAACATCATGCTATATATCACGGAAAGCTTGTTAATTCGGACATTTAAAAAATGCCTAATGCAAACCTTTTGTTTCTTAGCCTCATTTCATAATGATAAGATGTCAAGTGAGACTCTCATTTTCTTACATAGAAAATGGACTTAGGTCTGGTTGAGAAAGTAAATTTGGTTTGGTTTTTAATCCATGGATAATATTCATTTCTGCTGCAGTTTGGATGAGCTGCCTTTGTAGAAAAGAATTGTTTCCTTTGCCTATAATGGTCTCTGAAGGGTTATTGTATACTTCTCCTTATAGATTAAAATTAATGTATACAATCAACAGATGATTATGATACACTTACTATGCATATAGGAGTCCTGGTGTGGCGCTGTGGGTTAATGTGCTAGACTCAAAGTCATTTGACTGTCGAGGTGAGTGGTTCAAGCTTACCAGTCA